TCATGTTAAGAGATATTGACTGACACATTTCTTTCAGCAGTTCTTTATTGTTCCTTCTCCGCCATGTGTCAAGGTTCTGGTCCCATATAGGCCCTGTTGTCCTATATAGAACTTTTCTTTCTTATCTCTCAATTCTGGCTTCTAGTGTGCCCAGGTTTCACAGCAGAACTGGCTTAATCATGGCGTTTTACACACATTAATATTTTATTTAATTTATGTGTAAAAGGTATTTTTTTTTCAATATCAATATCATCATTATTATTATGTAAAATCGTATTACTGAGTTAGTTATCATTATTTTTAATCGAATCAATAAACATCAAAGATCGATTTAATTTTTTATTCATAAATCAGATATAATCAGATTTTTAAATTAAAAATCAAATATAATAATTATTGCATAATTTTGTGGAAACAATCATTATCGATTTCAAACCCAACATAGAAGTGTATTAGTCAGTGGTACAGACCCTTTTTATCGAATTATTACCATCCACCTGAAACTCCGTACATAGTTTCATCCCACCGTAACCTAGAACTATTTTATTTACGAAAACTCTTGGAATTGGGGCTTTTTCAATCTGGAGGGGGACAAACTTTGTTGGACAAAAATTGCGTACTAAAAACTCGTAAATACCCGTTGCTTTCTACTTGAATCGCAAGATAATTTGATCACGAAATCGAGAAAAAATATGGCCTTCAAAAATATAAAGCCATTTGGCGTGACCTACAGCCCCAAAATAACGAGGTTATATAGGACAAACGGCCCAATATTTTTGTAGGCCACCTTTTTTATCGATTTTGTGATAAAATTGTCTTACGATCCAAGTAGAAAGCAAATGAGTATTTACAAGTTTTTAGTACCTAATTACATAGAAAAAGTTTGCCCCCTTACATATTGAAAACGCCCCAATTCCCAGAGTTTTCGTAAATAAAAAAGTTGTAACTTACGATGAGATGAAACTATTTACGAAGTTTCAGGCGGATGTTAATAATACAATAAAAAGGGGTCTGTGTCACGAACTATATTACTGAGTGTAGAAGACATACTTGCATATTTTTTTATTTATTAAAAATATTAAAAAGTTTCTTTTTATATTATCCGGAGCACCCAATGGATCATAGAGCTATGCTCCTCCATCTACCTTTTCAATAATTATTGATTTCCGATTTGAAATAATTTAGTTCGTCGATAACACTATCATAAATAGTAATATTTTATTTTTTAAAACCTAAACATGTTATAAATATCCTATAGCAGCCACATCACATAAGAGACATTTTATAGATATTATGGAATATATATAAAACAGAACATTTTAGATGTTTAAAACAAAGAGCCCAGTATATATAGTTCCTTTGAAACTATAATGGATCTTGATGTTCGAGTTAAAATCTTTAAACAAAACTTATCCCATTTCTATCCATTTACGTTTGAAACCATCTGAGTTTCAAAACCCCAATTTTGTTCCATGATTTTTATAAAAGTTGTAAGAATTTAAAAATCAAAAATGGGATTCGTCACTTATCTATGAAATTCACCACTTCAGTTTTATTATAATCCATCGCTTCTGAGTTCTGGAAACAGTATATACATTACCGTATTGTATAAAGCATATGTGGATAATCCCGACCTCGTTGCGACCTCCAAACGTTTTTTTGAGATATTTATTAATCCAGCGTTAGAATTAATTAATATTTAACTAATTAAGTAAAGAAAATTTGGATATTAATGCCTAACCTTACTGCAACCTCTAATGATAAAAAGATTCTACACCTATGATATATACTATATAGTAAGCACTAAAGCACCATCCTTGAAAATTTCATCAGACACGAAACAAATGTTTTTCTTCTAATTCAAGACGTAAATTCTGCAATTTTCGGTCTCGAAGAAAAATCTGAAATTCAGTATCTGCTTGAATTCAAAGCTTCCCTACCTTTATTCGTGAGGATGCAATAACATATTCTAAATTAGCATTTAGCAGCTGTGGGCTTAAGCAAATAGGCGAAGCACTACATTAGGCACAACCAGATAATATATTTAAGTTCCAAACTGTGGGCGGACAGCAACCCGGTCCCATAAAAGTACTGAAGGACATGGAAGCGATCAAAATTATCTTTGTTGATTTAATCTTAAAAATAAGAATTTAGGTATCAGTAACTCCCGATTGGAAGATAAGGGATAAAAAGTTACGATATCAAAACACTAAATGTTTTACTGAATCATGCGAGAAATTATAAATTTAGTCATATCAAAAACTATAACCTATCGTACATATATTGCTACAAAACCGAAGACAAACATATTTATTTCAATCGAATACTTGTTAATTTATTGAGGGATTATCAAGTGCCAGTACGCGGCAATTAATGTATCGTAAACGCGGATATAAATGAGTATTATCAGCAGCTATTCAGGCAGTGCCGGCCTCAGACATTCGGTTCCCCCGGGCAATGACGTCATCTCCCTCTCCTCTTATTAATAATTAGTTATGTACAAAGGGTACAAACAATCATTTCCAAAAGTTATGCAAAATTGTAGTCCATAAGGTTTAAGTTTATTTTTTACTTGGAGATGATTCCCCAAATAAAAAACAGCTTCTCGAGAGAAACGAAAAGTGACTATTTCAAATTACTAGTTACTATTACTAGATAATAAATTTCTAATTGATAAACTATGCGTGAAAAAATAAATAACAATTGTTTACTATAGAAAACAGATATTGAAAAGAAGTTGGTTGGGTTTTTCAGTCAGAGAAAGTACAAAGTAAAAATAAATAAATCTTATATATTATTTATAAAAGGTGTTTTTTGGTCGGTACGCCATAAATTCGTCAATTCTTCATCAAATCGAATGATTGACCAGTAATTTTGAAGATATTCTTCTCTTTCACATGCGAAAAATAGTCCCATCTTCCCGAAATTTCTGGAAAAAAAGTTATGGAGGAAAAGAAACTGTATTTGTGAATAACTCAAAAAGTATGCATTTTTTTCTGGATTGTACCTATGATAATTAGAAAGATTACTAAATTACCTACAAAACAAAAACAAAATCGTAAAAATCGGACAATTTTTATACTTAATCATACTTAATCTATACTTAATAATGTTTTCCTGTTTAAAGATATTGCATTTAGGAGTAGAGTAGTCTACTACACTTTTTTTTCTGGCTGATATATTAATTTTATTATTTCTTAAAGACATTTGGTTGTTCTTACATTTTAATTTTTTTAATAATTTAGAAAATCCCATGATCGGGGAATTATTTTCCCTTTATTACTTTTATTATCTTTCCAGTCAGTATTTAAAAATAGATCCTAGCAAAGCAATTCGTACAAATATTTTGGTTTATTATGTTTAATGGAATATTGCAATCGACCAAGAACAAAATATTAATTCCTTCCTTACATAATACATACGAACTACTTATTTCCATATTGTTTTTCTATTTTTTCCGTAAACAAAATTTTCTACGAATTATTTGCACGGGCCAACTAGTTATATTTATTTTCATTTTGTTTTCTCCTACATGTTAGCATAAGTTTCATGCCTTCTTTTGGGCCAAGCGAAGACAAGAAAACATATAAATATTGAAAAAATGGTAGATAGTACTAGTAATAAGAGTTAGACTGGCAAACTTAACAGAGTGATGAACAAACAAGTCAATAATTATTTTTTGCATAATCATAGGGAGTTAATCGACTGTTACACATACCATGTAATAAATAGTTTGGAAGCATTTATTTTAATATTTTTATTATTACCGACATTTCAATCCCAGTATTTGGGTCATCATCACGGCTCTCTTCTGGTGGTTGAAGCATCTTCTAATTCGCCATCTTCTTCTTTATCCCTTCCTGCTCACCCGCTATTTCAAACACCAGAAAAGAGGCCTGGTGATGACCCACATACTTGGGTTCAAACGTTGGCAACAATAAAAATCTTAAAATGACTGCGTCCTGACTATTTATCACTCTTGATATGTAGAACAGTCCTCTAACTTCCTTCAATAATTCATTCAATCACTAGGACCATCTATCAACATCAAGAATACACTTCGTCGCTGAAATCCACCACATCAGAGATATGAGTTCTTCGTACGCCATCTCACAATACACATCAAGAGGAACTTTTTTTTTTTTTTTTTTTTTTTTTTTTTTTTTTTTTTTTTTTCCCCCTACCTGGCCATTTCTGGCATACGGGGTACATCAAGAGGAACATCCTGACCCATCTCAAGCTCTACACCGCTCGCACTCACGACACAGCTTATTCGCCATGTTCTTCTTCATCCCTTGCTTCTTTCCCGCCAGATGCTTCAAACACCAAAACAGAGCCCTTATGATGATCCACATGCTGATGACTGCGTCCTGACTATTTACCACCCATAATTTTTGTATAAATATACATTTTTGTTTAGATAAATAATTTTTGTTAAATACTTGTTTTTCCTGTATTTAACGAGATTATAATATCTTTAATCAACTCTCTATAGATAAATACATTTATTTAAGGAATAATATGCAATTAGGAGAACTATTAAAATAAATTTATTATATGTTTTCCACTTTAATACCTTTGCGCTTCCGCCAATGAAATAATTTCAAACTTCTAGTCGGATTGATATAATGCTAATTATTAAAAAAATATATTACACAAGATTTAATTTTTGTCCTCTATTCCTCTGATTTCCAGCCAAGCAACGGCTCTGCTTTCTAAGATTTTTTTTTTTTTTAGTATTAACAAATGTACTTATTATAAATAAAGTAGGAAATAGGGTTTACTGATTACCAATCTAGTTCAACCAACGCGTTTCGTATAAGAATCAGATGTGGTAATATATTTGTAAGATGGGTACTTAAATTCAAATAATGACTATTTGACCATCTGTCAATAGTTACCTCATTTGATTTGGTTCGGATTTCACTGGTAATATCTTCAAGTTAGGTTATAGAGAAACCTATCTTATCTAGGCTATCTTACACAAAAATATTCGCTGGTATTTATAAAATGTTTATTGCAAGATCATGGGGGGTTGGACAGGTACCTTGAGCTCCTGACCAAGTGCCACCAGTGGATTGGGGTAGAGTCGCCGCTGCCTGCTCTTGAGACCTGATCAACAAACACCAGTCTGTGAAAATGCTTGAGGGAGTCTAGGGGCTTGGGAGGCGATATTCACGCCAGTAAAAATGTCAGTAATCATACCATAAAAATAAAATAAAATCTAGGGAATTTTCTGTAATAATTAACAGTAGTGTACTTTTGACAGAAATACTTCTAATAAAAAAATTAAAAGGAGATAATTATATGGTATGTAAACAGTTGTCAATTACAAAATTTAATTAAAAATCACATATCTGACAACAAGTTATGAACTTAACATCTGCACAGGGGTTGAGGTAAATATAAATTAATTATCAAATCTTTCAATCGGATTTCTTCGATTGCATCTATAAATACATCCATTCAGATTTTCTAAAAATTTCTTTACATTTTTCATTAGGATTGTGCTGGTTATTAGCGATCATTAAGCAATATAATATGGGAAATAATGGTTAAGGTTTTATAATAGTAAAGAAAAGGGTGCTACAGTACAGAGGGAGAGAAGGAGAAGATGCACACTAGCCTAATATCCTATCGCTAATTATCATACTTTTACATCATTGAGAACATACACCATTAACAGCAATATTTTGGGGGGAGGGCAGGATGGCCGAGAGGGCTAACACATGTGCAAAACACGCGTTAAACGGCAACCTGATAAAACCTAAGATTAAGAGTTAGAATCTCGGTGCCTGGGGCTTTTAACTCTGGCATTAATCCCCCGCCTTCTACTCTGGCACGGAAAAAGCGGTATATATACAGAAAGAAAGGCTAGGGAAGGGACGAGAAAAAGTCTTTTTATCGTTTTATCCTCCAACCTCATTACTTATCTCATAAGTTTTTGTGTGTGTCTCGTCTCATATTAGTCGGAGTCACAACATTATTAGATGTTGTGACGTCACATGGTGATCTATCATATTTTTCACACATGTGTTGGATAGATGATACCTTTTTGTATTACTTTTCTGAGGGTTAATAAAAGTTGTTGTTCTAATTTGTTTCAAGAGTACATTGCCTTTTTATTCTCCAACCTCAATCCTTATTCTGTAAGTTTTTGTGTGTGCCTCGTCTCATATTAGTCGGAGACACAACACAACTAATTTCCATATTTACTACGATAAAATTGAAAGGAACATGTGATTTATAGTTGTAATGTTAATTACGTCTGGAGGGTAAAGGGTTACCTCCCCTTTTGTGATCTTATCCGCTACCAACTAACGGTGGGCCGAATTTATTCCAGCTACAGCATCAAGAAATATTATTTAACCAATTAAAAACAAAGACAAATGCGTCTTAGAAATAGATCGATGTTATTATGTCAATATAACCATAATCAGTCAATCCAACATAGCACAAATAAAGTAAATAATATTCTCGGATTGTGTGAAAAGTAAACTTTCTAGAACCAAAGGCTGGCATATTTTAAAACCAAAAACACATCAACAATCTATGTCTGTGGCAGTGAAGCATCGCCTCTATTTGTCACTATAAATACTTTAATTAATAATTTACCTGAACCATTAAAGCTCTTGCAGTTTCTGGTCGGATACTCCTTAGCGACATCCTTGTTGGCATTCTATGGTTCTTAATCCGGAGTAACACGAACCTAGGTCTTCCACTTCTTGGCTGCGGCCTCTCCCATCTTCTCATGCCATCGGGTTAGGCCATTTTTGTGAGTATATGTTAGTGAACATATGTTGCTCTTTTTTTTTTTAGTCTTTGTTATTTTCAGTACCATGGTGAGCTTTTCGAGCAATCAAAAATATTGTTATCACTTGATTATTAATTTGTTGGTTTTCTTTTGCATCAAACTATTCGATTAATTTTTGGTCTTCATTGATTTAAAACAATCTTCAAAGAAAACACGACTAATATTCATTTTTTCTTAATCTCACAAGTGTTTTGCAAATATAAAAATTACTTGAAAGGAAAATTAATCAGTGAGTTATGAAAATGTGGGAAGATGTAATTCGTTATGAAATAATTAGATTATTCATTTTCACTTCAAAACCACAAGTTTTTTTTACAAACATTTATTTTAAAAATAATATTGAATTTGGAGAAACATGACTTAATCATTGTTTGCCTGTGATTTAGAATATTTAGATAAGACCAAAAAAATGCTTTTGGTCAATAAAATGAATTAGGAAATTAAATAAAGTAAAGGTTATAACAGGCATATGTTGTGTACTTTATCGATTTTGTAACCATTAAAACCTCTTAAACCGTGAAAATTTGTGAAATTGGTTCCATCAGTGTCACATTTATGAGCCGTGAAAATTATTTAGGTTAATCTATTAATATTACATATTTTTCTATAAGAACTATACTAAAAAAACGCCCTAAAAATATAGTAACCTTGCCTTAATATGAAAACCAAAAAAGATGACGAAAATGCCCGAATGTGTACGAAAGAATATAGAGCTGACCAATCCCAATGTACATATTTTTCCGGTTTTTGATGATTGAGATTTCAAACGAAAAGGGATTTCTTGGAGAAGTGGCGAATTATTTGTTTGTTGATTGCACCCATGATTATTAGAAAGAATACTAAATTTCTTACAAAACTAAAACAAACATTCTTTGAATGCGTTAAAAAAAAAAGAAGAAAAAAAAAAGATGCAATCTACAGTAATGTACAGATGTTTTGGTTTATTAATATAATGAACTAATTTGATTTGACTGAGAAAAAGAAAATTATTTTCTCTATCTCATAAGAGATTAATATAGCAATGACTTATTTCTATATTAATTATTCGCACGGGCTAACTAGTACATTATAAGTATAACGCTTTTAAAAAGCTTAACTCATAATTTTTTCATTTATTTAGTAATTCAGATGTAACAACCAGCCCAGTCTTAGAGAATTAAGAAATATATTTATTACTCATGCGGTGCTACGCAATTCATTTTCAGAGTTGATGATCAACGAAAGTTTGCTTCTTTTGAGTCAGAGATATGTTATTCTCGATGGGGAAACTGCTTCTACGTGTTTGTTATCTTCATAGCTGATCAAGCTGAAAGTCCTAGTCACAACATTCGCACAAGAGCTGAGTGTGGGATTTGGCCGTTTTTTTTTTTTTTAATAAAAAGTATTTATACTTAAAAAATTCTTTCCAACTGATCAAAAGGCTAATAGTTAATAATAATGATAATGGTTAGTCTATTATTATATCAGAGAAAAATTCAACAGAAAACATATCAAATGCGTCTGCTTTACGTACAAGGAAAACCACTTTCAAAATTATCGTAATCAAGCCTCTGTGAAGTCGATTATTTTGAATAAAAAAAAAAAGAAATAAATATGAAGTAACATGTCGAATTACATCCAAACACAATGTCACATTAAAAAAAAAAAAATATGTGGTGATAACTGAAATATAAAATAGTGGATGTTTTAGTATACTGTATGAACATATCCTTTAAATTTTGTTAACGACCTTCACACCCTCACCCTTTAAGCTCGTTATTGTAAATATCCTCATATTTCTTTTATTTCTATTACAACCACTATAAATTTGAGGATAATTGACTTAAGATTTTTAATTACAACAAAAAATGTTATTTGATCTCAGATTATATTCATAATTCAATTCCTTCTACTTCAAAATTGTCCTCAACCAACGTTAACGGTATATAATGAAAAACATTCATATGTAAATAAGAAGAAATAACAAATAAATCATTCTAAATACAGAGAACATGACAAATATATATATATCTTTCTTACCCAAAAGAATAGACACACATACTGCTGAAATATTTAAAATCACGGATATATTCATTAGAAATTTCGAGCGGAGTAAGTAACCTACATTAAAACTGTTGGTACTCAGTGGACGCGGAATTTAATGAAGATATCTGGGATTCTGAATAATTCAACAGTATGGGTGGCAATTCTACTGAGTTATTCTTGTTAAGAGTCTATTATATACAGCATATGACTCTTTTCCACCTCTTAGCAACAAAACATTTTGAGAAATGAGGTACCAAAAGAAACCGAATTTGATGAAGACATAACTAATCCCGATTCGAGAGATATAATTTATATACATTAAAACTGTTAATACTAGGTGGACGTGGAATTTGATGCTCTACAACAGTTACTCTATGAGTTTTTTGAAGTGAAAAATTCTTCAGGCGCGTTTTGCACTTTTTTATGGAGAGTGAATTAGATTGAGCCGTCAGATTTCCGATGTGTAACGCTCGGGTAAAGTCGACTAGAGTCAACTAATTTAAGTGTTTTTTAAATGTATTAAAATATCTCAAATACTAAAAATCGGATCTGCATATTGTTAGTGAGGGAAATGTTCATCATTTCATCCTCTTTGTAATGAGCTATTATTCAAAATTGTATCTTGACGCTACACAGTGTTAGAGAGGTGAAAATAGAAAAAAATATAATTGAAAACCAAATGATAACGAGTTTTATTGAAGATATGGATTAAAATATCTCAGAAACTAAAAATCGGAGCTGCATACTGTAAGTGAGGGTATTTTTCACTATTTCATCCTCTTTGCAATAAACTATTACTTATAATTTATATTTCATATTATTAATTTTGTTGATGCTTTCACTTCTATCATGTGGTCTAAGCCCCAAGTACGAGGGCCATTTATAGTCAATTGCCTCAGTTTTTGTGAATTTGGTAAAATCAGCGTTCGTTGACCGTGGTTATCGACCATACAACTTAAATAAATTATTATGTTTAGGTACTTATTCGCAAAATTTATCATTGTTTAATTTCTTAACGGGGAAGTTTTTCACTTCGATGCACCATTTAGAAGTTATAGGTGAAAAAATAAAGATCGAAAAAATAAAAGATCGAAAAAATCTGGATTTTTTGGGCTATAAAAGTTTTCACTTGATGGCCCACAGTTAGCAATTTTGTTCTTTAGATTTATAAACCAATATATCCAAGATAAAACAAGAAAAACTTTTCTGACATTTTTCGCAATGAATTTCCTTTTTCGATCCCCAAGTTACAGGCATAATGTTTAAATCATCCGCCTTCTTTACAAGTAGCATGATTCTACTGGCAGACTCACATTTTTTTAGTATAAATGTTATAAATATTCAAAAAAATGCATTCAAAGTTTTCATCAAACAATATCGTTTTTTTTGCTGATGGGCTCTCGGACTATAAATGTAAACACATGTCAGGATTTTTTTTTCTTTCCTAAAAGCATTATTGTTTCTGTTTACTATAATTAAATTTAAAAAAAAAAACTTTTTATTAAGTTGTGCAACTGCCAAAGCAAAGCAGCATATCGTCGGTTTATTGAAAAAGACACTAAGAGAATTTTTATGAGAAGTATTTGTGAATTAAGTCCTTATTGATGAATAAAAAAATGCAAAAAATCTTTTATGTAACAAAAAGTGATAAATGTTCTGATTTCACAAAGGAAAAAGTTTCCGCAGTTCTTAGTACTTTATAGTTATGAAATGTCATTCAATAGGCTTTTGCAATAAACCCATGATATAATCATGAACGAGCAATAAAATACCAATAAAAGTCAAGTATAATAAAGAATCGTAAAAAAGATAAGAGGATAGAAAAAAAATGCAGCACTTTAAATCTTATGATTGACCACAGTCCACAAAAAGCGATACGATCCTATCTGAAACTTCTCTTTCTTCTTCTCATATCCTTGATCTAATGATATCATTAAATAAAATAGGAAACTAATATAGAAATAAATAAAATACTGTGAAATTCAACCAATGATTTCAAATGTTAATCATTACACCCGACTAATTCTAAGTCTAAAATAACTGGTTTTTCCTGAAAAAGTGAATAACTGTTTCACTTTTTTAACAGCAAAATGGAAAAATAACACCAGACATTTAAAACAGGTTTTTAACATAAAAGCAAAAACCAAACAGTTTTAAAAAATCAACCTTTTCTTTTCTCTTTAAAATAGGTGGATATGAAGAAAAAAAATTAAATTAAATATATTTTTCTGAGATGTGGCCCATTATGATGTAAAAATTTGGTTGGTTCGATAAAAACTAGGGCTGGGTGATATACAAATTACTATATAAGCATTCAGTCCTCAACTGACGAGCATTAATTTATTCTTATAGATTTATACATAGGGATGATTTGATGGAAAATGATATATTAGCTACAATTTGGATTATACACGAAAATGAGTTAATGACAGTCTCTGAAGTAAACACATAAAATTTGTACATTAATGATAGTATTCGATTAATTAGTAGTGTTGCATCCTATCAAGAAATATGTCCATACATAGGTTTCATATATGTTACATGGCTATTAGGGGTTGGCCTTGCTCAATCCTCTAACCTTAGTTCCGGTTTTTGGGACAGGATCTGCAATTTCTTAATTCTCGACATTATCAACGATTACTCATTGCAAATAAATAAAATTGTATTAAAAAAATATATATCAATTTGTTATTTCTACAAATGCTTCTTTTTTTAAAAAATAACTGATATGGATGAAACAGATCTAAAACTACAAAAAAAGTCCAATTTTTTTTTTTTTCAATTTACAATTATAATCATAGATATACTTTATAAACTATAAACCCAAAGTTTTTATTTATAATAACTAAACCTGCTGTGACAGTTTTGAAAAAAATATGAAGATGACATGTACACATAAACTACAAAAATATAATTTAAATTTCGAATTTTTTTAATTTAAAAAAATCGTCACAAATCAAAAATGTCCAAACTCGACTTAAATTGATATTCATTATTTCTATCCTTTAATTAAAGTAATTAGCTATGGTAAGCTAAGTTTCCTGACATTTTGTGAGCAGAGTTTTCCCACTGAACATTCCAGAAACTAAGCACTACCCACTTCTAATATCTACTTCTATTTTTTTCATTCATCTTTAAACAGTTGTTCAATCCTGGTTTGAAAATCTTCTTAATAAATTTTAATTAGAATATCAAGAAAAACTGACAGGGAGAATAGCAGTACAATAAAACACAAGATTTAAGAAAAAGAAGAAAAGTAAATTTTATTCTGGGGTATGCAGGCGACAAAGATTTGTTATTTTATCAGAGAAGAAACAATAAAATGATTAAACTGG